CCCGCCTCATTTTCCGAGCCCGAGGTCCGGGTCCTGAGCGCGCAAGCGGTCAATTCGCTGATGCGCAGTCGGATTCGCTCGCACGGGTCCGCCATGCCGGCCGTTTCGCCGAACAACGCCGACTCCTTCGTCTTCGATGACTCGCCGCTGCCCAGTGATGAGGAGGACGAGCAGCACTCCTTCGACACGGAGATCTCCTTCGGCTCGGGCATGCACCACATCCAGCGGGCCGACGGCATGAGCCGCCCCCGGCGTCGGCCAAAGTCCTCGCTCTCGGTGACCGACAGCCCCCGGAGTCCGGGCGCCGGTTCGAGCACCTCCTCCGCCGGCGACTACCGTGATGGCGGCGACAGTGGCAGCCGGTCTGGCTCCGAGTCGCCGCCCGAGGTGGTGGACGCCTTCCCTGGTGGCGAGAACCCGACCTGGGCGCGGGCCTTTGTGGCCCTGCTGCCGAGTGTCGTCACCCTTTCGGCTCTCTGCTGCGGGATCAGTTCAATTCGCAGTGGTACGCACTGGCTCCCTCCCACGGGCGGCCTCCTCCCCCTCGCCACGTGCCCGTCTCCCTCCCTGTATCTCTGTGTCTCTCTCTGTCTCTCTCTGTCTCTCTCTGTCTCTCTCTGTCTCTCTCTGTCTCTGTCTCTCTCTCTGTCTCTCTCTCTCTCTCTCTCTCTTTTCCTGTCTGGCGCGGGTTTCCGGGTGCTGCCGGACTCCCTGACTGACCATTCATTCCCTTTTTGACCTCACTTCCCCCCCTCCCCGCTCCGATATTCACGCAGCCTACCTCGGTGATTACCACATGGCCGTGGGGCTACTGTCCCTCTCGGCCGTGCTTGACGGTCTTGACGGCCTGGTGGCTCGTCTGCTCAATGGTGCGCCTATGCCGTCTCTTTGTCCGCCGGCCGACACGGGCCGCGGCCTCCCCTTTTTGGCCATCGCCCTCAGGCATCCTGCGACCGGGCCCTTTCCACGTCAAACAGCTGACCCTCCTTCGCTTCTTCCCCCCTCCCTGCCTCCCGTTGTTGTAGCTACCTCGCAATTTGGCGCGGAGCTTGACTCCCTCTGTGATCTGGTCGACTTCGGCGTGGTCCCCTGCGTTGTGGTCTACCTTTGGTTCGTGGCCGCCCTCCGGTATCCCGGTCCGACCGAGCGCCGCTTCTATTCCTCTGACACACCGCTCCCCCCCCCCTTCCCGCACCGGTGCACAGGGCCTCTCGCATTGAGGACTCCGTGATCTCGGATCTGCACTTGTGGATGTGCGGGCTCTTCTATGCGGCCTGCTGCGCGTACCGGCTGGCCCGCTTCAACCTCACCAACATCCTCTCGCCGAAGGCCGTCACCTACATTGTCAGCCAGCGCCACATTGCTCGTGAGCAGGCCGAGGCCAATGGCCCGGCCACCAGCCCCGACCCGGCCCCCACGCGGCCGCTTTCCCGCCGCCACTTTGCCTACTACCGCGCCCTGCCCCGCCGGGCGCTGACCGGTTTCCGCATCCGCGGCCAGCGCATCCTCGATGACTATGTCTCGCGGCAGAAGTTCTTCCGCGGCGTGCCGGCCCCCATGGGCGGGGCTCTGGCCCTTCTGCCGATTGTCCTGTCGCTGGAGCTGGCTCACGGGGAGCAGGATCTCACCCTGCCCGCTTGGCACCGTCGGTCCCTGGGCGAGGTGGCCGGCATGCTGTTCGGCTCGCGCGCGGCCCGGTGGTGCCTCCCCCCGGGGGTGGGCCCGGTGGTGCTGGACGCGCGCGTTGTCGCGGCCATCGTCCTGCTGTCTGTCGGCGTGCTGATGGTCAGTCGCCTGCCGACCTTCTCCTCGAAGATGATTGTCCGGAACCCGGTCACCGAGTCGCACCTCCTCCCGCCCAAGTCCCCGCTCATGGGCGTCCTCCGGATTGCCATCCTGCTGTTCATCGCCGGTAGCCTGGTTCTGGCCCCCTGGCGCTTTGGCCTCCTTTTCAGCCTGCTCTACATCGGCTCCCTGCCGATCGGCCCGATCGTCTGGCGGGCGGTCGACTGAGGAAAAGAGGGGCCCCGGTATGTGTGTGTGTGTGTGTGTGTGTGTGTGTGTGTGTGTGTGTGTGTGTGTGTGTGCGTGTGTGTGCGCGCGCGCGCACATGAGCACCCGTTGTTTATCATGCCACTCTACGCGTGAAACGCCACCGCGCGCACTACCTCTTCTTCCTGTCCTTGTCATCATTTCCTCCCCTCCCTGCACAGGAGCCTCCCTCTTTCCTCATCTGCCGCTTCTCTCTCTCTTCCCAATAGATAGCGATTGTTGTGTGCGCCGCTCCGGCGAACGTGCGCCCCCCCCCCCCCTTTCCCTTCCCTGACCCTGCTTCTCTTGTGTCTTTCACGTATGTCTGCATATGATGGGCGTCGTGTCTGTGTGCGGGGGCCCATGTTAG